AATTATGAGCAAATAAAATAAATTTCGCTGCTTTCTACGTTTTAAAGATTCAAGAAGACACCTGAAAATCGAAAGACAGTATTCTTTGTAATACGATTATGGATATGTATGCATGCTTATCTACTGGAAAGATTAACTTTAAAAAAGCTGTTTAGATAAAATTTAAAAAAAAAGAATCGAAAAATATTATCCTTAATTCATGCTTCCATGGAAAATATTAAAATTCTATTTCTATTATATGTTTAAGTATGAAATTTATAAATAACACACTTATTATTAAACGATTGATACTGCCATTGGCTTTGTATTGTAATCAAATCTTTTTTTCTTTTTTTTTTTTTTCATTAATTAAGCGGTTAAAAAGAGAAGCAGCGATAGGGGAGAAATGTAATAACTGTCATGCAAGATCGTCCGGCTGTTACATCGAAGAAAGGAACGACACAACGTTTATGATAATGGAGCAGGGATACTCGCGCTATCATAATTCTCGATTAAATTTTCTAAATTTATCGACATTCGTGAAACGATTCCTCCTCGAGCGTGTACATTTAAATGAGTGTGCTCGTTCTATAATCACGTTGCTACATCGAACATCAGGGCGTTCATAAGATGCTGTTGCGAAAATATTATCGAATTTTTTTCGCCGACACGTTACAGCAAAGTTACGAAACAAATACTCCGAGAGAAATGAACAAAGTAAACATAAAGCGAAAGAAAAGCAAAACATTTGTTCATTCATTAACCAGCTGGAATTATCGACGACTGTTGTACGAGAGACTGTGTGCCAGATCAAAATCAAAGTGCAAGGAATAGGATGATGTCCTTAATGCGAAAAAAAAAAGAAAAAAAAGAAATAAAGAGTTTTGTGAAAAATCATTCAAATTTGTTGAAATACATCATTGCAGATCTGGAAAATTTCCATAAGAATTTATGCGAGTTGGCTATTTCCAATTATTCTGGTAATTCTAATGTTAATGAATTAACGTTTTAGGTTTTACAAAGACAGATATATAAATGTAGCCTAAACATCCGCAACTTTAGTTATAATAACTTGGCGATCTTCATGCTTGACGTCATTAATATAACTACTTACCAATTGACAAATGCGATTATGTTGCTCAATTATTGCAACAGAATGATGTAAGTCGAAATTTATTACTAACATATACCATTAGGTCTTTCATATGTCTTTTATTAAAAAAAAAAAAAAAAAAATACATATATAATCGTGATTTGTAATGTACCTTAAATATAAAAATATATAGATATTAAATCAATTGTTGCTCGACTTTATTTCTTTGACAAACATTCGTCTGCACTACGAAGAGAGTATAATAAATAATTATAATAATTAATATATTATCAAATTATTTATTCAAATGAAAACCATATTAATACAATAATACCATATTAACACAAGGATCTCTTTCGAAATTAAATGAAGCCATGGTATCGAAATAGTACACATTTATTGAACAAAATTAAACAACTTTAGTGCAAAAGATATGGATATATTTTCATGTAATTTAATTAATTATAATTAATAAATATTAATTATTTAAATCCAACTGTATTAAACTTCGTATTATTTAGAAGCACTTTTGCAAGTAAAGATACTCTTTGTAGCCACTGTATATAATACGCTTCAGAAATAGAAAGATTCCAAGTGGTTATGCAGTGTAATTATAGAATTTCATCATGTTAAGCATTATAATTATAGGATTTCATCATATTAAGCCTGTCACACAACTAGAGCAAAGAAATAAACGTTTTTCCCTAGAGTTCTCTTCTCCTCTCGTTTCAACGTCTGTCATAATGTCCAACCAACACACATACCTACATCTAAACAATAATCGGTACAGTTCCTTTTCTCTTCTCCTTCTTCTTTCTCAGGGAAAAGAATTGCAAAAAGCGACGAGGACGAAGTCGAAATTGCGAAATAATGGTGAAGAGTCTTGCGAAGGCTACTTGCAAGGGGGAGGGGTGAGGCCGACTCTCGAAACTATCCACGTTCGAGCAGCTGTCGTATTAATTAAACAAATGAACGTGGCTGCCGGGCTTATCGAACATCAAAGACGAGAAATCGCGAGTAGGATGAATGGTAGCCCGCTGCTAAGCCGGCTACAGTAGTAATCCAGTGCAACGGCGAGTGGTATCGCGCGGAGAGACATGTCACCCGTCAAAACTCTCGTCCTTTTGGCGGTCGTTCTGTCAGGTAAAGGAAGTCACGCGGATCCTTTCGTTAACGTTCCTCCGTCAACCTTACCAAAGTAAATCGAATCTTCTTTTTATCGAATTTATGCTCCAATCTGTTACGAATCTACACACGTTCGTTACGTGAATCTTATACGAGTCTTGTGATAAAAGATCCAGAGATTCCTGATTATTCACGTTTTAATATACAATTATTACCATGTATTTCCGGTACACTTGTTTAGACCTACATCCTCGCTCAAAAGTGTGTTAAGACTCAAGCGGTTCGAAAATGTTAATAATTGTATTAGAAAATACAATGCAACTTGAAAATTGTATTAGCTGCGGTAAATATTGATTATTAAAAATGTTCCGAGAGACTTTCGAGCGGCAGTATATTATATCCTCTCGAAATCTGCATGTATATCACACGTATTTGCGTCAATGTAGTGGAGAAGATACATGTTCCTGTATTTTCTATACGATCTCCAAATGTTGCTAATTACTAAAATCATTTGTAATGTTTGTGGTTTCCTGAATCAAGGAACGTGTACATAAAAAAACGTGTATAATATTGAAAACACGAACATGTATATTAAAAATCTCAATCTTTCATGTCCATATAATACACGTATATATTTTAATATATACGTTCAAAACTGCGATCTCTAAAAATCATCGAGGAAACTTCTAGTTCTTGCGATCGTTCAGACACGATTTTTTTTTATTTCGTTTCAACAAATTCTGCTTGCTTGTGGTTTTAGCGTACGCGTATCCTCAAAACACATTGTTGAACGATGTTGAAACGGTCATCAAGTCTGTGCTCAAGATCATCCATGAACCTGCCACGTTCAATTTGTACACCAGGTATTGTATAGTATATACAGCGTTTTATTTTCATTGTTTAGTTACTACGGAAATTAGCGAATTCGGGGTCTTATACTAGAATGTAGTGTAACAGTTAGTGTGATTGATATTTGATTTATATAAAAAAGTGGAACTCCTATCTTTAAACATCTTTAAATACTAAGTACTTCACTTTTGAAATTAGATGTTAATTTCAAAATCTTATAATATCGAATAATTCTTCAATAATGACTACAAATTATAGCATTTATATATTAAAATCAAGTATACTTAATAGGTCCAAATATACACATATAGCTAGATCCAAGTATATTAAATTTTCGTCATTTAGATTACAAAAATTCGATATAATTAGATAATGTGGAACTTGAATGAAATGATATAAAATCTAGTAGTAAGGGATTTGTAACGCACAATCAGTCCATGTAAGACAGATTTAATTGCGTTAGAATGGCATTTGAATTCGGCCAAGTAATTTGCCTGGTATAATAATTCACTGTTACAGATTCGATTTATTTTACTAAAGTCACGAATAAATATTGATAGCTCAACAATCACTTGTCTTTTTACGAGGATACAGCTACCATTCAAATAACTCTACCTACTTGAGTATTTGAAAGTTTTACAAAAAAAAAAAAAAAAAAAAAAAAAAACGAGAT